AAAAGGTGCACGTAGAAACGAGATTTCTCAAGCAAAGAGGCCCTTTCTCCAAGACAACAATGCATTACCGTACCCGCAACCGACGCCACAACAGTCGATTAGCAACCGACTTAGCATACGCGGCGCCGTCCTAAGCTTCCCCAGGCCGTGTAATTAAGCTATTCGACCTCATACTGTTGTAACATTATGAAAAACTCGTTCGAGTATGGCATTTGGCAGGATTGTCAGCGTTTGTATCAGTAGTACACTTCGTTTTAGTAATAAGGTGCTAAAAAAAATCGTACTACCTCTGCTCGGAAAATAACGCACATTTCAATAAAAATTTCTCGATAGCTCCGCCTCGTTTTTATTCGGTATAAAGTGTGCAGAGGTCTATCTACTCGAGAACTAGCAGAGTCAAAAGAAAGCGTCGAAGTCCGAGGATGCTGGAGGGGCGCACGTCGTGGCCCTTTGGGGCACAACTTTGGCGAGAGTCGCCCGATAAAGAGCTGAATTGAAAGAAAGGGAATCAGGAAGTTCACCAGCACGCAGTAGCTTGTCCTTCTGGATGTGGCTCAAGCCAAATGCATCCCGCCGTTGTGCCTCATGATGCTCTGCATGATAAGCTGGACGGAGAGGAACGTTTTGTTCAGCGTAGTGGTAGTAGTAGACGCAAACGCCATCTCCACTTCCGATATGAGGTCTTCGGCTGTTCTTGGGACCGTCACCGACTGCAGCGACTGGATCGCGTTGAAAAAACCGCAACCAAGGACGTTTAGATGTGGACTCTGCGCAGGCTGGTTTCTTAAGAGAATGCTCCAGCCACCAGCACAACCAGCCACCTCTTGCTGCACCCAAATTGGGCTTACAAGAGGAACGCCCTGCCCCTCGTCCCTCACCCACTCCCACTTGGCTTTGATTGCGGGGATCCCATCTTCAAGCAGCATGCGTCGGTGGACTTCACGGGTCATCGAAATGGGGCGCAGCTACTCCACACCGGCATCACGATTAACGCTCCTTCGCTGGGTCACATACTTCTCCACAATAGGCCACATCCCCACCTTGCCATCCCAGTTCCACGTGGACGTGCTACTGCACACAGAAACATCACCTTGAGAATATGCCTTTTGCTCTGCACAAACTGTACGGAAGCATCTTCACAGGGTGTCCCATCTTGACCGGTCAACAGATAGATCTTCTGTCCAATCTTCCGACGTAGAACCACTTTTCGCCCACGTGGACGGTGTCATACATCGGGGCGAAAACTGGCTGACGATCCGTAGACTGGGTTACGTGGAGAATCCACCACTTTAGACGATCTGTCTTGTGCTTCTCGGTCAGAAGGGGGCGGGTTTGAGTGAGAGCGCGGCGTAGGTAGCCTTCTCTTTGCAGCTGCCGGATCATGTACGGAGTCAAGCCAGCACCTTCTTCAATCGTCCTGT